TTATTTTTTTTGTTACTATTTTTGTTAATAACTTTTTAACGAATAACGAGCGACGGCTAATACCTCTTGATAGTCACTCAGGGTCATGACCTTGACAACATACATGAAGGTCAAGGTCATTGGGGCTGGGTCCGTTGTTATCAATATTTACCTTAATTTTAATAAAACTTAAAAATGGCCAGTGAATTAAAGATACTTGAATATTTCCTTTACAAGATCTATCCATACATACCTATATGTGAGTTTGCTTGTGTTCCGACCTATACATTTATGTACAATATTTCTACATATGAGAGTCTATGAATGGTCTTTCATATATATACAAGCGTATGTGCACGCATGGTACATATGTCCAATGTGTTCCTAATATATTATACGCAAATCTGATGTCTTATTTTATCTAATTTTTCAAACAAATTACTCGAAAACTGAGCTCGGCAAGCAAAAATGTGTGTTAAAAAAACAAATGTGTGTTGTATGGTGTAGAAAGGAACAAATAATAATAAAATCAATTTTCGAAAAAATCGATTTTTTTAAGTCACTATTAATTTTTTAATAATCGTAACTTAATATTTTTATACGCAAAATAATAAAATGAATCAATTAATGTAAAAAAATTGTATAATTCTATATAAAAACATCAAAAAATTTTTACATGACCAGGATAAAATTATTTCAAATTTTTTTTTTTAAATTTATTTTACTCGTTGTCTTCCTTTTCCTTCAGATCATATAATGATTACCTGAAACATTTTTGCCTGCCGGATACAGTTTTTGAATAATTTGCCTAAGTAAAGTGGGATATCGTGTGTGCGCGTGTGCGCGTGTGCGCGTGTGCGTGTATGTGTGTGTGTGTGTGTTGGAAGCGTATATTATGTGCTTCTGACTATTACATACACATGCGCAAGAACATCCACCGTCATACATACAAATATTGCATATGTAGTCGGCACGCAAAAAACTCATATAGGCAAATATAAAATAGATTTAGATCTTCAAATGCCTTTAAATTAGGAAATGGCCATTTTTAAGTTTTATGCCCATTGGAATAAAATTTTTTCTTTATCAGAAACATAAGAATTACCTACATTATATTATAAATTCAAGCAAATTAACCGATAATATTTTCTTAGAATTATATGTGAAGTATTTTAGTTTAACAAATTTTTTTATTTTTTAAACTAAATAGTGAAAATTGCCTTATTTATTCCAAACATCAATATAAAGTATTTTTTATGTTTGTGTATATTTAATAAAATATAAATTTTATTATTGATATTATTTAATAAAAGCATTTTTTAGTGTACTAGCGCGCTATGTAACATTTTTTACTTTTAACTATATTTGCTGTGCAGTCTACCAACTTCAATACACAACTGTCAAAATATGCAATGACAGCTTCTCGCGAAGTAAGCGCAATGACAGAACCAATCAGAATCGCGGAAAAGAGGCTTTAAGACTTCGATTAACACGAGGCTATTTGATATAAATATGTTCCTTTCTTATGTTTATTATGTTAATTGTAGAACATAGGAAAAATTTTTACTATACCAAACAACAGAGCAATTGATGGGTAAA